AAAGTCTATAACGGCTTTAATGTGTTAAATATTAAAATTAAAAAAGAAAAGATTCGAGTGTAGCTTATGATATTGCAGATGAATAGCTGTTGAGGACTGTGGCAACATTGTATTATCATCCATGAGATATATGCTATCGTATCGTCTCCATACATCGGGTACCTCCGCTAGTATTGTATATTTCTCTTGATCGAGGGTGATCGACGAATATCTCGAACGCAAGTAACAGAAAAATTTAATGTGAAGAAAATCTAATAAAAGAAAATTTTGAAAACATATATGTGAAATAAGGGAAAAAACCAGGACGAAAAGCGAAACCTAATGGGTCCCTGGATCCGCCAAGATCTATTAGAATTTATTGGAATGCATCAAAATTCTTGAAAAATCTAGTATGTTTATAGTCACATCTTGATCGATAATATAACAATTCTTTGATAAATCTTCACGTTTGGTTAAATCTTCATCATCAACGACTAAATATAGATGATTAGGTTTTAAATCAATGATGCTCTTGAAAAAAAAAAGATTTTTATACTTTAACATCTAGTTTATAGACAAGATCAAGAACAACTACTCGAGAAGCATAGTAGAAGAAAAAATTTCAATTGGAATTTATATTTATTCTTTAGAAAGTAAAAAGCATACTTGATGAAGAATATTAAATAGATGCCATTCTTTGTCTTCTTTTGATGAGATATCACATTATTTTTCTAATAATTGTTCAGTACTTGCGTTAACTGATGCTGCATTCGAACGTTCCAACATTGCACTTTCTAATATCACTAACGGATATTTTCCTTCATTTAAAACCTACGATGAAAAACATATAATAAATATTCAGAAAAAAAACAATATATCTACAAACTTTAGAAAATGAATATTTGTCAGAAACAAATTTATTCAAAATATTTATACTATCTTCCAAATCTTCGTATGAATATGTTACATCAATTTCTGGACCAACTATAGCTACTCGTAAATCATTATATGTCCCATTTAAATCCAGTAGCTCATCTAACAATTATAAACAATAACAATCGTCTCACGATTTACGTATTCTTGCATTAAGTATATGTGCTTCATATCGTAGATTAGTTCCAATTAGTAAAATTAAATCCATTTGTTCAAAGTGAATAATTGTTCCATTCAATAAATAACTATTATGAAGACCAATTTTGAAATATTATTAATAAATAATCTTTTTTAGGGAATATATTAAAGATAGACACGAAACAGCAACACTTGGAAAACGTTCTTCAACATAAACAGTTTTACAACCAAGTTAATTCATATAATCTTTTGAAGCATTAAGACTTTCAGCATCACAAAAACGTCCATCAAGAACAGTTATCTTTGAATTAAATCTCGCTCGACCAATCTATAAATATTTTCTTTTCAATAAAAATTCTTAACAAAAGAAAGCGAACATACATATTCAGCAACAACGTCTAATGCATCTAACCAGTCGCATGGCACAACAATAACAATCACGATTTTTTAACATCACAGCTGTTTAAGACCATTATAAGAAAAACGTGTGTTATACGAAATTTATTCTTCATTAACTTCCAATGTGTTATATTTCAATAAAATGAAAAATTTTTATTCTTCTGTTGTTGATATTATTTCATTAATTCGTTGAATTACACGAAAGACATCTTCATTACATATGCTTGTAATAATATAACCACCTGGTGCATTCATAACATCAATTGATACCGTTTTTCTAAATAGAATAACATCAAATGTCAAATAAAAGAAATCATTTTTTTATACTTTGTTGTTGAATGGTCGTGTAGTGAATGTATAATATTTCGAGTTTAATGCTCTCACTGGGTATAAATCAATCATATTACTCAAAAGTTCTGATATAAAAAGTCTTTCAACATATGTATCAATAATTGTATTTTCATCATGTTCTGTTATACTAAGATGACTAACTCCAACAGCTGCATTACCAAAACGAATACATCGATTCACGCTTGTTTTTAACAATTAGATCTTTGTTTTCTCCTTTCACAGATCTGAAAAGAATTTCGTATAAAAAGTTTTCTTTTTCTATTTATCTAAACTATTTGTCAGATAATTCTTTATCAATAAAACGGCTACAATCACTATCGAATACATTAATTGAGCCTAGAAATCACAGCAGGTAATGTATCTTTATTGTTATTTATAAAAAGTTTACTTGAATCTCATATTTATCCTCTTAGTCATGAACTGGGCTATCAAATGAATAACTGACAAGTAACAATTCCATGACATCTTCAAACGCTCCTTTTTTCATTAATAAATCAGTTTAAAAATGCATGCCTTTCATGGCAGATATTGTACAACGTGCAAACAGCTACAGTAAATTCCAATTAATACACGATGCAAAAGTAATGACACAAAATGTTGATCCCTATTTCTCTGCGATAGAAGAGTACTGAAAGAGAATTTTTGTTTTTCAACTGTTAAAACTTTTTTTCATCTTTCAAATCATAGATAACTTATTTTTATAACACATTCATAAACGAAATAACGCAACAGAAAAGAGAAGCAACCTTAGAAAAATGCACACATTCCGTGAGATTCTGGAAAACAACACAAAATAATGATTTCTACTAGGAGTGCTACTTTATATTTACTATATATTATAAATATAAATAAATTCTTTACATTTGAAAAATAAAGAAAATATAAAGATAAATATTAGATTTTTTCTATTAGCAAAAAAGAAACATAACTATGCTCTAACACCAGGACATGGCAACTAGAAGAAGTGTATTCATTGAATACATTTCGTTAATCGCAAAACCGAATGTGCAGAATCAGAATGTGAAATAATAATAATCTCATTACTTTATTTGATAATATATTTTCTTGAAAAGAGCTGTCTTTATCATCTAACTGAACCCCAACATCAAAGGCAGCCCTCAAGTAAACACATACTAGCAATTCTCATTAATCCATTCTTATTTCAATAAGCCCTGATCAGAATGAATTTGATGTTTTGATTTCAAAGGATCTTTTATCTTGTTGATGGAGTTTTGATAAATGTTTACCTGACTGTCTGTTCCTTGGTTCGATAGTCTAATACTTTTTTCTCGACAAGGACTTAAGTAAAGACTACAAGCTCATCATTTTACTTTGTGGTTTTTCTAACTTCATCGCAGAAAAATATTAACTACAGCTAATTAACTATTTAATTCCTATCTTTCTCTTCTCCTCGATTAATATCTTGTAAACAAGAAATTTTCATTTCTTTCGGCATAGTACGTAACAATACAATAAGACTAAATCATCCGAATATAATGAACATATACATCTGACTCGTATCTCTTCTTCAAGATTAGATAACATCTGTCTCATATATATATATGAAATAAAAGCTATCGTATGGTAGCAGTTCTGCTGAGTTAATATGGACTAATCATTTATTTCTATATCAAAGATCGAAAACGAAACGAACTAAACCGGATCCGAACCGATATTTTGAAAAATAGGACGAATCGAGCTTGAATCGAAAAATTTTGGTTCGTTTCGGTCTTTGTTCTATATACAATTAGATATAAAAAATTAAATATTTTCAGTATTATCTTAGCATAAAAATATTGAAAATCATTCATTCAGCATAAACAGTATATACACGTATTTTTGTTCATCTACATGCCATAGCATATCCAGCAGCAGGCCAGTGGACAGCAGACTGGCACAATGTGTTACTTTTTGCAGGATTTTTGAAGAAATGCCAAATAATCAATGCACCGAGGATTATCTGCCACTAATTGTTCGAATATATTGATCCTCCCCCATAACTTTTCACTATTGAAAAAAGTCTGATTGGTGAATCTCTGATAACTCAAAGATTGCCGACTACGGAAGTACTTAAATATTGGAAAAACATCCTATGCACTCGACGATTTCATCTTTTGACGTAGTTACACTGCTTTGGCAGTGCATTCGCACTTTCAAAATATCCTATAAATAAGATTCATCCAACCTTATTCTAGTTACTATCCGATTCGACTGTATAACAATCTCTAGATAATTAATAGATTCAAATCCATTTATTAGTGTGTATAGCTGAATATTAGAGAAGCAGGATAAATATAGAAGAGGAGTAGGAGAAAAGAAGAGAAAAACTTCATTACACATTTACGAAGTGTGAGTCCACGGATATTCATCAATGAGAAACCATAGAAAACTAGATACATTTATATCCTAAGCACGATATCATATATATTTTAATGAACGCTAGGAATTCTTACTCAAATAAGCCTCAACGGTGATATGAATGTCATTTGAACATTGCCTAGCTGATTATGATGTCAACCATCAAACGTCTTCATCTAACGATCCCATAATATAATGAAGTCTTCAAAATCAGATAGTATCAATACGAAGGAGTTCATCTGCAATTAGCACTAAAAGAGTATCGAATATTTGAGACTAATCTAGTGTTAGAGAAGAATATGTCGCTGACGAATGTTTTCCACAGTGCCATAATACTATCATAAGGTGTACCGTATACCAAATAAAAAGAAAGAAATCAATATTCATATAGAAACATCACTTGACTTGGTGGTGTGAAAAAACACTGGTAAATTTATTTGAACTTCGCGAAAATCAACAAAAGAATTAATAGGATATGTATCAAGTGCTGTGATACATTGCTCTTGAAAATTTAAATAAAAGAGAAAACTAAAGCAAACGAACAAATCAAGGTTTTAAACGAGCTGATGAAAGTGAAAAAGTAAAATGTTTGATATACTTATATGAAAGAAAGTCCTTTTGGTTACTTTATGCTTTGAAATTCTTTTTGTGAAAATTTGCTTTACCCTTTGAAGAAATTAGTCATGCCACATTCAAAAAACTACTACTGTTGATGTTTTAAGGATACTAAAAGAAAACTTCAACAAGATAGTGTTTTTCGATATTTTTCTTCATCATTGTATTGAAGTGGATATTTAAGAGTGTAGGCGCCTTAAAGTAACTGACTTTTGTGTTCACTTAAATTTAATAAAACAAAAAGAATTCAGACACGATGAACATGAGGGCCATGTAACGTTTTCTACAAAACGATTTTCATAAAAGTGTAGAAGCAACATCGAATCTATAATTTGAGAGCTTACAATGGTATCGCAAATGGATGTTAGATAGAAGACTCACTCTAAAAATCGATCGAAGATATCGCACAAGGTTTTTTTTTTGGCCAATTAAAGATTTAGTAAATTGAAAAAAGGTCTCTATTTTAGGCATGTTACGCAGTTAATAATAGCGTTTCCTTAAAAGGCCGAACATCAGCATGTGACAAATTTCTTCTTGTTGACATATTCTGTTGTTACAACACAGATATGTTTCTTTTTCGCTAAAGAAAAATCTGATATTTATCTTTACATTTTCTTTATTTTTCAAATATAAAGGATTTATTTATCTTTATTTTCTAAAATATAAAGATTTTATTGATCTTTATTTTCTAAAAATGAAGATTATTTTTATATTTATTCTTTAATACAAAGATCAACAGAGATACAGTAACATTCCTAATTTCTATATCCTTTTGACAACTCTTCGATAAATATGTGTTGAAAGGATTATTTTTTTTTATTAGTTGATAGGCAATTTACTCCTCTTTCAAACACTACAATTTGTTTGTCACACATTCACAAATGGCACGAGAGAAAATGAGAGACATTCCCACAATAAATTTGTAATATTTATATGAATCCGTCAAAAGCGTCTTGTTAGACAATAATTGATTCAATTTTAGTCGACTCTTTATAAAGATCTCGTGGACAGATTGTTACTTTTATTTTTATCAAATCATTAAAACCATCCTGCAAAATGACAGTTTATTATAATTAATTGTTATATACGAGATGCTTTTGGTGAGTTTATATAAAAATTACAAATTTCTTCGGAGAAAGTTTCCCTTTTTTCTTGTCTTCTTTCATTTACCCATACGTGACAAATATGAATGATACACTCTTTGAAAGAGGAGAAAATTTTGCTATTGACGAATAATAATTTTTTTTTTCAGAATCTATTTATTGCAGAGATATTAGAATCGATATTGTGTGCGGTCCTTTTTATCAAAAAAAGGGCGGTGTTTTCTAAGGATGCTTCTCTTTTCTGTTACGTCATTCGATTTATGAACGTGTTATAAAAATAATTTATCTAAGATTCGAAAGAGAAGTCAAAGCTTTATCTTTTGGTAAAAAACGTTTCTCTTTCATCGTTCATTTATGGAAGAAAAATAGTAATCGACATTTTGTGCCATTACTTTTGCATCGTATGTTATTAATAAAAATACGTATTTGCTTGAAAATAGTTTTGCTCTTTCCTTTTTTTATTTTATTTATTTTACGATGTTTCGAAGAACACTTCCTTATTCGTCAAGTTGTTACAAACATAATAAAGATAAAATTGATCTACGAATGAGGAACACACGCATTTACATATATATGCACAAAAATCGAACTTTCTTTTTGCCTTCTTTTTAATTTTCAATAGTGGAACGAACGACAACCAGACGGTAACACTGGAACAGAAAGAAATTACATTAAATAATTTCTTCATCCGTTCCGCTGTCGAAAATGAAAAAGAAGAGAAAAGAAAAGAGTTCAGTTTTTTTACATACATATATATGTGGGTGACAAGTCTGATCAGAGGCTCCAAATTTTTTTTTATTATTTAACTTCTACTTAGGGTATACCAAAAGTTCTGATCACAGTTTTTAAAATTTAATAAAGCAATAAATATTGAATATTTTACTAAGGCAATATATAGTATAACGTCTCGTCTTTAATAATATATAGAGCA